CACTCACCAGCACTAAGTTGGACTGCTCTTGGCCCCTTTCTGCTGACAATTTAACGTGCTGATTGAGTAAATGAACTGACAAACAAACGAGGAGGCAAGTGTGTTAGTAAAGAACCAAAATGGCCGCCGGCAATATAAAGTGGAGAATAACTGTTTAATCAGCTATGTGGCGTCGCGTATGTGTGCGTGTGTGTGCTGTATACACATTTATACGACTGTGTATGCATTGAGCATAAATTAAGTCAAATTTTGAAAAATGGCCAATGCTTGCAGCATGGCCCGCAGACACAAATATGTGGCCACAACTATGAGCCGCATAACAAATCGGCTACAATAGCAATAACGATGGCAGCAAGAGCCCAGCAATAACAATAACCGCTAAAACAACAACAACAACAACAATAACAGCTGTCATGCACACCATTAGCGTTTTACAATTTGCAACATGATTTGGCAGCTCTTCATGCATGACAGCCCAACAACAAATGGGCATTCTTACACTTCCTTCCTTTCCGTCCTATTCCGCATAGATGTCGCAATTCGCAGTCTTTCGTCGGTCGTCCTTCGTCCGTTTTCTGCTGACTTTTTGCTATGCTTATTGATTTTAAACAACACACTGCATTTATATCACTGTCAGCCAACCAAGCAAATATCTAATACCAAATATACACACACATTTGTTTTGGCGGACTCGCTTATTTGCCCCTCAATACACATGTATCTATGCATTTGCTATTGTACTCAATAAATATCTACTCGTATATACAAGCTGTGTGGTTGAATATATACATATACATGAAATTGAATTATAACAACCGAATGCGCAACAAAAGTCAGTCGCAAAGAGAGTGACAGTTGGAGAGGAGGGTGTTCAAAAAAGCCACGTAGCCGATTGGATGGGTTTTTGGTGTCCCATCTCCCTTCGAGTGTCCGACCTAAACGACTTGTCTGCATTCTGACATTTGTATAAACAGAGAGAGAGAAAGAGTGTACACAGAATATGAAATGCCTGAATGGCAGTATGGTGCGATGTTGATTCGCCTTTGTGTGCCTGAATGATTTCCATTGTCAAATTGATAACTTGGTGCCCTCTCCTGTGTGAGTGTATGTGTGTGTGGGTGTGTGGGTGTGTCTGTGTGGTATGACAAGTTTAAAACGTTTTTGCCTCAAAGCGCTTGGATTATAACAAATTAAAGTCGTGTACGGCGGGAGGCCAAGCACTTTGACAAGAGCTCCTAATGCCAATGGAATATTGAGCAGTCATGTGGGTGTTTGTTCAACGTTTGCAAAGATAAGAGCTTTGAGGTTGCCTTCTACGCGTACTGTGCATGGATAAAAGCGAATTTGATGGTAAACTCATGAGCTGTTGGACAGTGCCACGGAAAATAGGCTTAAATATGAAATAGGCAGAAGGCTTAGACGAAATATTGTATAAGACAGTTAATAATTACAACAATAATGGTTGATATAAAATATAATGTAATATTAAGATGAGTTTCCAGGAAACAAAGCAACTCATTGTTATTGTAAATTCTTAAAGATGCTTGAACAGCTATAATAATGCTCAGAATGTGAGTTTAATGTTAAGCATATTTCCGATATTATCCCATTATTTATCATTTAAATGACAAGTAGACAGGTATGCGCAAAAGTTATACCTTAATTCATTGGCCTTTATTCCGTTTAGCTGTTGCAGCTCTGATAAAAATCAACTAAATAATCAAAAGTTTATTTTGATACTTTTGCCTCTCTTCTTTTATGTGAATTAGCCACAGGTTTTGTTAAATTTTCTGTTTCACCGATAATTTAATCAACCCGGGTGGAATAAAAATGATTTCTTAGCTAAGGGCTTGAGAAAAATTTATGTAAAGTCGATCACTAACTGCAAGAACTTGGATATAGAAATTGGGGTCTCTCCAGAAAACTACTATCGACAGTTTCAGAAGTGTGGCATGATCCATGAATTGTCGTAATCGTTGCTTGTCGTAAAAAAGTAGCCTGCAGTAGATAACTCAGATGGAACAGGAAGTTTAAAAGCAGACCTGAAACTCAACACAACCACCGTACAGCAGATAAAGCTTCTAAATTCCGGTTGGAAACCGTAGTTGAAGTAGCACAGAGCTTTTGGGATTACGTCAATGAGCCCTTTGCAATAAAAGACCGCAATTGGATAACTGGCTACCAGCGCCAGCTATGGACGCAATGTCATCACGATATTTTGTATCAGCAGGGTGTTTTATTTGACCCCTCTTGATAGCAAAGGTGCAGATATAACCTCCATTTCATACTCCGGCATTGTTATGCATCACCTATGCTTTTACTTAAAAATTTTTATATACAACTTTGTAATGGGCCATAATTTGATTAACTATTAAAGGGCAACTAGGACCTGTAAGTTGACCTAAAATTGTTGAGCGGCAGAAGCTACTCATGCAAATTCTCTGGGTCAACACATATACACACACTCACACGCACCGCATGCCTAACAACGCTTTAACTACTCATTTAGCCGTGAGCATTAACAACTTGCAAGCCACGGGAAAAGTTACACCCACTACAACGGCCATATGTGCCAAAAACAACGACAATTTGGCTTCGTGCGCATTTTTGGCTGACCACAAGGCTTTGGATTTTGCCTTTGGCTTTGTGGTGAGCTCGGTATCGGCATCCGCATCGACATCGAACATTGGCAACGGTAACGGCAACGCCTCCCTGTGGCATGCAAAGTAGAGCAGAGCACGTGTCGACTATACTCGTAAAGCATGACAATAAACACATTTAGCTTTTCACATATATAGCAATAAAAAGCGAGCCATATTTGCAGCTCTGATGAATTTGGCCAAAGACGAAACTTTAAAGCCAAAACTTTTGCACGCGCGTGCCACTGAAAATTGCGATTGGCATGTGTCGCTTCTTTTTGGCCACAAATCCACGAACACGAATCCAAAATCCAAAACCTGTTTCCCAACAAAATGCGGGCACAAACATACACGTACGTGCTTACCAAAAGTATGCTTAAATAAATATGCTCATTTATTGTGTGCGGTTTTTGTGATATGTACTATATGTGAGCTGTAGTTGTATGTTTGCTATCAATCAGACGACGGTATATTTTCATTTTAATTTTCTGTTTGTGGAACAAAAGAAAAAATGATTTAAAACTTTACCGCTTTTTCAGTAGCATGTTCACTTGCCTCGTGACGCCCACAGGCCCCAACTTACCAGGCACCTTAGTCGACGACTCGGCAAACATTTTTTCGCTTATTTATTTTGTAAATTATGCGCTAAAAGCAACGGCACAAATGATTGATTGGCGGGTCGTTGGGGAACCCAAAAAATTATTCACAACTTTTTTCTCATTTCATTTTGTTGGCCTGCACAATTTGTGTGTTTGATGTATGTATGTATGTGTGTGTATGTTTATGTGTTTGTTCCTGTATGTAGTCATAAAAATATTTCAGCAGGAAAGCGTAATAACACAGACTGAGGGCAAACAACAAAACGTAGTAGGTCATGTGTCATTCACAGTGTTCCTGGATGGCATTGCATGCTCTCATATTTATTTGCACTTTTGTGGGCTGCAGGGCTGCCTAACGAAAACTTTACAAACATTTATAACAAAAACGTAAGCGAGCGCGCGCGCTTCCTAAATTGTATTTTTTTAATTTTTGACATATTATAAGAAAAGTTTTCACGCTTGGTATTTAATAGGCATGCATGAGATTTTCCCCTCTGTACTGTTCCCCAATAGCAGTTTTAAGTAGCTGATGAATAATTTGTAGGCCTTTCTTAAACAAGCGCAAGAAATGTACTTTGAAGTGATGAAGGCCTGCTACTTGTAGAATTAAAGTGGATTGACAGTTGCTAGACAGCACTTGTCAGCTTTAAAATGAAATTTTAAAATGTTAATGCTTAATTTTATAGAAATCGTTGTGTCCTTAACAATGATACGAGTAATACTTTAACGCCGACATTTGAATTTATGCTTATTAGACTCAAAAAGATCCATCTGATAAGGCTAGAGCCAAATGCCATCAAAATCATTATCTGCAAGATATGGTGTCTAAAATAGTCTACAAGGTCCATCCATGAATTTATGTAATAGTAATAGATAACAAAGATGGTTTAAAAAACTGTAGCATTCTTTATATGTATAAATTAAGTGCTACATACACAGAATGTACATTTGTAAGCTTATATGTAGATTTTCATGAAGTCCCAAAAAACGCAACCACTTCGTGCTCTTTGAGCTGGATGAGTTTTCCCTTAATGCCACTTAATTAAATTGAATGCTTCAGTGATGGCGCCAAAGCGACAGCAACCAACAAAATACGACACAAAGTGTCCGAAAAAGGCAACAAATTGTCAACATTTAATGATTAAAACTCAGCTCGTTGTCTGCAAGCATACAAATTGATTGTCAGTCGATTGGAAAAAACAAACAAATAGTGGAAAAATGGGTTAGCCCACAGAAGCAGAAAGCATGAAAACGGACATAAAGGAAGTAAAATATTGTATGCATGAGCAATGTTGGACTTTTAATTGCTTTTGGTTAGTGTCCCATTGACAAATACTAGTAAAATCAATATGCAAATACATATGAATGTTTGTACGAAATACAGCTGGAATTGGTACATTCCGGAGCTGATTATATGCAAATTACTGTGATAAAAAAAATAATAAAAAACACGTCAGCAAGCAAATAATGCCAAAGCGCCCAAGCGAGCGAACCAAACTACCGACATGGCAAAAAAAAAGAAGAAAAGCAGGCACTACTCCAAAGCCAAGTCAGATTTTATGTTATTTTTATGCATTTGTGTCCGTGTGTGAGAAAGGGAAAAAACACAGCAAAAAAAGTGAACAGCGCGTATTTCCGTTTTTTTGCGCCAACCCAAGATTTATTTATTTATAGGCACGCGGAGTTGTGCGTCCGAATTGAAGGCAAGGCCCTTTTTTTTTAAATTTAGGAAAATTTGTAATTTTATGAGCAAGCAACATACCTGCTACTCGTTAAAGCTAGATGCTTGTAACTGTTGCCTCAATCTGTGCCGTTAGATTTAAAAAATCTAATAACGGTCGCTGACGTCGCGTTGCGAAGTGTGCGCTGTAAATGCAATTCAATGTAATGGAATACTGCGTACAAAACTGAACAATATCCGTTCTTGTTTGTACCTTATGCCTGCTTCCTGAATTTAATATACGTTCAGCACAAATGTAGGCAACACTTATTATTAGAATTTTTATACTCGAGTATGCACGCGCACTTTCGCTTTTCAACTGAAACTGAACCTATCGAACCGAACGCTACGCTTGATTTGTGAAACTGGCCTCGTTTGTATCGTGGGCTTGGTTAAAAGGTTTCATTTCACCATTCACAGCCAAGCATTACAAACACTCGCACACAAGCGAGTTGGTTAGACGTGAATTTTCGGCACTGTTAACTGGCATTGACTTGGCCCAGACGGAACCAATGGGAAAGGTGAAACACGAACTCGTATAGTATATAAGGCTTGCTGGTGGCTCCGACATTACGGGATTTGAGTGAAAACGGAATTCGAGCGAAGGAAATGAGCTTTTCATTTCCGCACTAACCAGCCTCAACGCAGTTTGAGGTTTCTGCGATGGAAATGCTTTAAGTTGAGCTTTCGAGCTTTTAACATTCTCTTTTAACAGCTGTTCAGATATCAAAATATTAACAGTATTTCAAATGACAAAATACCGGTTTCAAATAAAATACCTGTTATTTAAAGGAGTAAAGCTCATGCTTTAATTTACATACAAATCCTAACAGCCAATATTTACCTGCAAATAAAAATGCGAAAAACATATCAGTAATGTTATTCGTACAGTATTTTGGTAAAAACACAAACAACACAGCCAATACTTCTAATAATTGATAGTTAAGCTAGAACGAACAGAGTGTGAAGGAGACAGAAGCTTTTGTTAAGCTTTTGAGCTTATGTGGCGTTGACAGCTTTGAATTTTCAAAACAAACGTTTTAGTAGGAGTTGCGAAATATTAGTAAGGACATTGTCAAAGATATCCCAAGATACACAGCTTAACTTTTATTTAAAGTATTCTTTTAAAAACATGCCAATTTAATAAACAAATGTTTTCTACAATGCAGAACAGCAAGGTAGTTTAGTTGAAGTTTAGATAAAATAGAACTAACGTAGATAGTTATGAACATTAGGCAACAAACAAGAGGAATTTATAAATGCTAACCAATAACATTTTTATTTTACAAAAATCAAATTAATGTTATTTATTTATTATTTCCGATGTATTACATAATTAAAGAAAACCAACATTATTTATAAGTATTTAAAACAGTTTTTCATTATTTAATTAAATTTCAAAAGGAAAAAAGATTATTATTTTAACTAAAAAGTTAGTTAATTAGTTGAAAAGTGGTTAAATTATTTATTTTAAAAATATTATTTAGAACACATTATTATTAATTGGAGTTACTTTAAAAAATACTCTGTTAAGTGGCTAAAAACTTATCGCGTTCGATAACAACATAAAGATTTGGTTTAAAAACAAGTGGCCTTAAAAAAGATGTTACAATTAATTTTATGCAAATTAATATTGTTGTTAAGAGTTAGTTCCGCATATGGATATTTAAATAAATCACGAAATTAGGTTTTTTAAAACTACAAGCATAAACAAGATATTCTCTTCGCATCTTAAGACAATTTGGAGACAATTCACATTAAAAATCAAAGATCTTAGACATATTGTTGCCTAATGTTTTTAATAACGTGCATTTTTTTAGTGGACAGACACCCTTTTCTTTAATAAGACACACATTCGATTGGTACAATTTGTGTACTATATATGAGTATAACTTCACAACAACAACGATAACAACAACAACATAAAACACCACGTGCTCGCTAAAACAATAACCATAAATACTAAGGTTTTAGCGTTTAACGGCAAGTATTATCGGGTCCTCAAAATATTGACGGCCTGACACTTGCCATAAACAGTGAAACCAATTTTGTACACACACACCAGTTTCTGTTGCTGTTGTTTTTTTTGCTGGCTAAAACGAATTAACATCAAATTTAAAATCGAGATCCAAATTTTTTAGCGGATTTCGACGGAATTTCTTGCTGCCATGATGATGATGGTGATGTGGTATGTGTATCTCCACCTCCGGCTCTTCATCTGCAGTAGATTGTTTTGCGTTTTTCATTTTGATTTTTATTAATTTTTATTGAGTTTTTGGTGTTGGGTTTAGAAATAAATACAGAGAAAAACCATTAACCATTTATTTTTAATTTAAAAACGTAGGGGTATATGTGGTGTGTGTTAGAAAAAGCACATGAAGCAATGAAAAGATTATACAGCAATACAAATAGCAAATATTTATATAAAATAGACGAACACAATTCTGTCAACGTTGAAAAGGATACAACACATACACGTGGAGGAAATCGTACAAACATGACGAATGCTCTGAATACTTGTAAATCAAACATGGCGTATACGCAATTCATATTTCAATTTCCGCCACACACGCAAAGTCGAGTCGTACTCTGATTAGCATTGATCTTAACCTGTACACCTTTTGTTGTCAATATCCGCGAATTATTTCGCTCACATTCACGTGTTTTGTCACACAGGCAGACAGATAACATTCAATCACTCATGAGGCAATCAGTACCGTAAAACTCAAACTAATTTCCGCACTCGAACATACGAGTACTGCGAAAAGTTTTCGATAATATAAATAGCAATAAAGTACGTTATATGTACAAAAACAAAAGGACAATATAAGAGGCTCAGTGCATAAAGTTTTGTGCCAATTGAGCCAAACTTAAGCCAAACTTTTCCTCTTCCTTGTGTCTAAATGTGGCGGTAGAAAAGAGCACTAACGAAGACATAATAAAATAAAACTGCTGAAATGAATAGCGACGCATAACTTCTAAAGTTGTGTACATTAGCAAGGACTCTTGAACGCGAAGCCGCACAAAATTTTATCGCTACTAAGGAAACTTTCTGTGAAACTATAGAAATTTTCTTAATGCTTCAATGTCTGTAAACGCATTTAATAATACTTTAGGTAGACCCATGTTTATCGTTTAACATTTAATACATTTAGCAGAGCAACATCCAAATGAATAGTTTATTAGAGTGCATTATTCAATTAACGAACGAATTTTGCCTCAAATAACGTTTAACAACCGTTTAAGGATACCTATCTTTCTTCAAAGCTCTGCAGAAAGAAGAATAGAGTCACTCGATTAAACATAATATTAAGTTCATAACTAAGATGCGTAACTTATCTCTAAGACGTATGGTCCTGCAATTTCAGTGTATACAAATGGCAAGCGGGACTCAACGGACTAATCATATCTCTTCTGCCACGCACTCATACGGTGTAAAGTTGGAGCTCCAAAAAATAAATTGACTACTCCGGGCCGATGGCTTTATCTATGATAACTACTTATTTTTGAGGTAGGACTCCCAGATTCCTCACTTCACTACCACAAATTTGACAATATTACCAACAATTGAAGAAATTTATTCTCGCAATTGGAACACCACAGCACCTGCAATCATTAATTTCGTCGTTTGCATTAGCTATTACTGTCTAATGAATAACTTATCCTTCTCAGCTCCTTCGTGCAGCGACACCAACAAGTTCATTCTGCTGCCTAATGGCATGGAACCCGACATTGTTTCCTAGCATATTTAACTTCTTCATAGCAACGCCTGTGGCTGAATTTGGCCAATTTTATTATCAAATTAGCATAGGCGCCCACTTTTCTTGTCTTGCATTTTCCATCAACGGCAACGGCAACATCAAAAACTTTTCCACGCCTACGCTATATATATTTGTATATATGCTCATATATACTTTGTATATAGATTGTTTGAATGCCAATTACGCCCGCAGTCAAAAACAAAACATAACGATGAAAGCAAGCTGCCAATGACAAGTGAACGACACACACACACATATAGTGGGGAAAGTCTGGTAGCTACCAGAAGTTATGTTAGACGTCTGCCAGTCAAACGCTTTTTGCTTGCCAGCCACAACAGCAACAACAACAGCACGTTGGACACCAACTAGCAGCCTAAACTTTTAATCAGCTTGAAAAAGTTAGCAACTTGCTAGCGTCTTGGGGTGCGCAGCTATCCCCGGATTTTCTCAACAAAAACATAATCAACTTAATTGCATAAAGAATGTTATGCAAAGGCAGCTCGTCAACGATGACGATGACGACGAAGACGCTGACTCTGGCCTGCCCAGGCGTGGAAGAAAAAAGTGGCGCCAAGCTTATTGTTATGGCGTCGCGCATAAGCATGTGCGTACTTAGGTACACTACAGTCCAACTGAATATGTACAAAAAGAGTCATAAAAGGGGCACCATGGTATTGTGTTTCGGCTTGGAATAGTTTTGTGAACTTTGACTTAGTTCCTATCCATTTTATTAAAAAGCATTAAAGGACATTTTTTTTATATTTGGAGTACTCCTAATGCAATCTCCTCTATTTTTTCACTAGAAAAAGTTTTTAATTTAAGCCAAAGTAAAAAGAGATTTTAACTATGGCTATACCATCCTATGATGACCCTAGATGACCCATCATGATGAGGGTATACATTTTTTGAAGTGGAAATCAATTAAAACGTATCTAGAACAAAAGTGTCATACCATACAAGGACACTCACAATTTCACAATTTATTAGCAAATAATAATTAATTTGGCAAAAAAAAAAAAAAAAAATTTTCGAGTTATGACAAAATATAGATGTTTGTATGAATCTACTCAAATGAGTGGCATTGTTTGTGTACATCACAGTGCGAGTATATGTTGGCTAAAGTTACGTTTTGTTGTTTTTATGCCGCTGCCCGACCTACCATTTAATTTTTTACATTGCTGTGCTGCTCGTTGTTGGTATAAATACAATCAATTTCCGCTTTTGTTTGTCAAGAAAAGTTGCCCTAGCATGCCCGCTTTTTGTTTTGACATTTTGCGCTCTTCATTTTTGTTGGTGTCTCTGTGTCGGAAGCAACAGCTCACAATCGTTGGTTTAACATGGCGTATACGTAATACTGCTCCTGGCGTTTATTGATTGTCTATCGAAAGCTACGCGTTATCAGCTGCCGCTTGTTTGCAAACACTTTGCACATTTTTAATTAAATTTTATGATTTTTATAAGCAACTGTTAGTTAGTATGTGTGTGTGCGTGTGTGTGTGTAAAAACCATTAACATTCACACAACAATAGCTACCATTGTTGTTGTTGCTCTTGCTATTTCCGCTCCTGTTGTTTCCACTTCATTAGCTGCCTGTCTGTCCTGGGGCCAGACATAATGTGATGCCTGCAATCACAATGCGTGTGAAGTGGCATTGGTTTTGTGCAATAAAGCTATGTGTGCGTGTGTGTGTGAATGTTTATTTGTTCTTGAATTTGGCCTATACATCTAACATACATACTTGTATGTATGCATACATAAGGATGTGTGTGACAGACTGACTACTCAACTAATTCTCAAGTTTGTTTTGGGACTGCCTTTCATATGCGTGCACAAAATTGCCGTCGCTTCGTTAATAAATATTTGAGGAAACTTTTGCGCAGTCTGCCTTTGCCAATATGAAACAATTTGGGGTTATGAAATGTCAGCTTAACCAAAAGAGACATTGGCCTATTTATAGAGCTTTTGTGGATATAGCAAGAAAAGGGCTGTAAGGACTAAACACTACATCCCCATTCAAACAAAATTGCAGTTTGTTTCCACTTTAATATGCAATTAATAACTTTAACAAACTTGTAATTTTCTAATGGACTCTAAGCTACTTTGGATTATTCAACATGGCACTGATAACGGCTTTGATTCACCAAGTTTTGAGGAATATTAAATGCAATTGAAAAGAAGAAGAATGCCTTAAAAATGGTTGGTAACTAAGCACGTATTATTAAATAAAGACATTATAGCTGTAGCTTAGAAACGTAGCTACCTACTCGATTGTATTATGACAAAGGAGTCAAATTAGACTCTGAGGACTCTCCCTGATTTTTTATAGCATTTTGTAAGCCATTAACATTTTATTGCACACCCATAGACCTTGTTTTGTATTATAGGAACCGAGTTCGTATACAAGTATATGTAGTACTTATATATGTATTGCATTTCGTGCTTATTGATATCAATTGGGAAATTCAGAAGCCATTAAACAGCAATGTCATCGCGAAATGATAAATTTATGGCCAGTTTTGAAAATGTTTCCAAACCATTGCATTCACACGGGTGCCATTACGTCACATAAACGGAAAGATAATAAATAACAACGGCAAATTATGCACAGTTAGCAGCATGATAGATTACAAAAAAAAAGTATGACACATAAAGTCTCACACAGCTAGATTGGGTAAGTCAGCCAATGTGGCCGATTATATGAATATATTTACCATATATGCGCATACACTTGCGACAAGTGACAAAATGGCAGACAACGGCAATCGGGCCAAGATGGCGATGCTGATGCCAATGTCGATGCCGACGACGATGCCTCGCCGGCATCATAAATAATGTGCGGCATATCAATTTCTATATATGCATAATAAATTCATAGGCATCAGACAGCCTGGCTGGCTGACAGGCAAATGGCAAGGACCTTAGCACAATTGCGTCACAATCGAAAGAAGGAAAAAACGTTACCATGGGGTAAACAAAAACAGTGCTGGCGGAAATTGTTTGCAACAAAAATACTGGCCAATAACAAGCTGACGGAAGTGCCGGAAATCTGCGAGCACAAAAACCAACAAATGTCAATTTATCATTTCCGCCGCTGGTCGGCGAGCATTTAAAGCTGCAAAGGCGACGCCACACAATGGCCATTAGCACCGCCATTTTGTGCTCTGGGTGCCTCTGTCTCTGCGAGACTCTATCTGTTTCTCTGTGTTGTTTTCTGTGTGTGTGTGTGTGTGTGAGTGCGTGCGGCACTGGTCTGTGCATTGTCGCACGCTGACATTTGTGCGTCGGCATGCCAAGTGAACTGCGATTGTCTGGCCTTTCCGCCAGACCACGGTACATGCATATTTTTCTGTGTCGGCGCCACTGTCGTCTCCATACTCAATACATACTTCAAAATCGTACACTCGAATATCAAATAACATTCCGGCACGCATTTCTGGCATTTGTCCCACTCTTTAATGCCACTCCAGTGACCAATTTTCGCATTTACTTTCGGCCAGCGCCGCTTTCATGGGTACAATATATGTATTTTTATGCATTTCTTCCGTGTAAATATGCCGCAATTTGAATGCCTCGCCCTCGTCCCTTCTTCCCTTTTACTCTTTAATATTTTTGGGCAAGGCCATTGCCGCGTATTTTTAGCGCCGACAACTGCCGGCTCGTTTTATATTTGCTCGTTAAATGTTTTTGGGGCAAGGGTTTCTGGTGTACTCGTATGCATGATATTGTAATATGGCTTCTTGCTTGGTCGCCCTTCCTGACAGTTGCCCAATGAGCTGTGAACTGCCGTGCCGCCCGACTCGACTACTAAATTTGAATTTTAATGTTAGGCCTATAAAACGTGATGGTTGCCCAATTTGGAGCGCAGTTGGTGCGAACACTTTTTATAGTTATTTCAGTGTGTTGTGAAAATCCCCCACTAATCAATTTTGACAGCCTTTATTATATTAACATTCCCTAAATTGCTGTTTACATTACATATTTGCAGCTGCATAGGAGGTTAGATTGATTTATTCTATTGAAAACACAAGTTAAAATAATAATTAAGAAATCTCACATTCATAAAAAGTATTTGTTGCACTTGGATTTGTGTACAATATTTAACAATAAGTCCGCTAAACCTTTTTAGTTCGAAAATGGCTAAATTTCTATTGAGGGTTTCGCAGAGTCCTATCGACTTTGCACCGAAGTATCACAACACTGCAAGGCCAGGAAATGTTGGTTCATCTTTTTAGGATAACCCTATCAACATGGTATTTTCAAGACGGCTACAAATGTACATATACAGGAACTGGGAATGCCAAAACAAATGCAATAGATGGGTGCACTGAAACAAAATCAATTGCATTGCCCAGATCCTATAGTTTTTGCCCAGCAGGTATAATACTGATGTTTAAATATGAAATCGAATATTTTTCGAATCGATAATTTTCTACTTTATTGAAATATTTCTTCAATATGTAAACGTTTTATGCCTTAATATTTTTACTAAATTTCGTTTGTCTATCACGATATTGTACCTCAACTTGTTATTAAAAGACAACAGTATACAGCTTGTGCTAACCCTGTAACACATCGATAATATGGTAAAGCAAACACTTCCGAATCAAGGGTTCGTTATCGCTCCTATGTGGCTGAAAAGAAATCTAGTTAATGGAGCTGTCAGATATTTTTATCTATCAAATTTGAATAGCAGACTCCATAAACTTGTACTCTACAAGCACGGCATATAATTCTGTTCAATTAAAGTACACAACAATCCTTTAAGTCGTCTTTACATATTAAATTAAGTTTGACACCAATTGGACGTTGCAACGCGTTGCAGGAATATTGCCAATGTTTTTTTCGATAGAAATCAAAAATAATAATCGAGTATTACCAGCGATAAAAAGATATCGACTTGGTGTCCAAATCAAGTTCACTTCTTATTAAACGTCATTTGTGAAAAGTTGGACGACTTGTAAGCTGCTAATAATATCAGTGGATTGAAATTTTGTGAAAAAAAGAAAAACTGAAATTGACAAAAATCATGTCGGGATACGTAGCTCGAATTGGTCCTTTGGTTTTCTGTAAGTAAACAGTTTACCAACATTCCTGCACTGGAGATCATCCAAAATGTAATCTAATTTTTGTTCTTTTAGCAAACCTTGGCAAGTGGGCCTACAACATGTCTGGTTTCAATCAATATGGTAAGTAAACGCATTATGTTCCACAGTCGAGCCTAAATATGTTTCCACTTGGACAAGGCCTGCACCGCGACGACTGCCTCTATGAGAATGAAGACGTTCAGGAGGCTGTACGCCGTTTACCACGCAATCTTTACGACGACCGCAACTATCGCATCATGCGCGCCTTGCATCTGTCCATGACCAAGACGGTTTTGCCGCAGGAGGAGTGGACCAAGTATGAAGAGGACGTGAAGTACTTGGAGCCATATTTGCAGGAAGTCATAAAGGAGCGCGAAGAGCGTGAAGACTGGAACAAAAATCATTAAAGACCATCACAAATGCTCGCCTAATACGAAATACCTTTAATAAAAAAGATTATATCTATTGTAGACAACAGATTTCTCCTTGACCATATCAATCAAAAAAGAAACGAAACTATTTCCATTTAATATTTCAGGCAACTTGTCATGGAAATCAAGGCCTACTGACACAATTTGTGCGTCTACTGCCGCCGCCGATGGATGCAAGCACTCTCATTTATAGCAATATAGTATTTCTCGAACTGCGTTCATTATTCCAAATAAATAGGAATTCTTCAAATGTTGCAATGAAGTAATAATTGTATGAATTGTACAACATTCTCAAATAATCGTTGGCTCCAAATATTCGTTGAAAAATAACAAATAGATACCATCACAGCATCTTAAGTATTATAAATCGTCATAGCAAATTTGCAATTCATATGTTTCCGTTTCTACCACAGAATCAGTCAACACCAGCAATATTTCACGCACACCTCAAAAGTGCGCTAATTACCAAGCAACCACACACACATAAATATCCGTATATATCTACTTGTAGTAGCGACCACAGGTGAACAAATGAAACATGACAGCCAAACTGACAACTGACATGGTGGGACGGCAACGAAATGGATGGGCATGTGGAAGACCGCACCTCGTCAAGATAGAGGCTAATGCGGAGGCGGGGCAGGGCTAGAAAAGATAAAGCTGGTAGGCAGACAAACAAAATATCAAATGGAAATCATTTGCTCAATAAATCAAATGACTGTCAGACAAAACGCTTTATTTGCTCTCAATTAAGCGTGCATTAGTTTTCAGACGCAGCTTATGGCGTCGCGTAGGGGTGGAGGACTAGGATGGGCGCAAGCAAGCGATGGAGAAACATAATTAATAAGCCACAAGCACACATAAGACTTTGCAAAGGCCACGGACACGCGCTGACACCAAAAGTGGACAAAGACACGGAGACGGCTACGGACGCGGACTCAGACTCGAACACCCCTAAGATTGTGTGTGGGTGTGTAGCTTGGTTGCGTGTGTGTTTGTAACTAAAGTTTTCGGGCAGCGACAACTAAAGTTAGCGTCTTACTCATAAAATATTCAAACATTTGTTGGGTGTAAAAACGTTGCCTAGTATATTCAATGGTGTTCGAAAGCCGTAGCATACTTTTGAGCGCTGCTTTTGGGTTAAAAATTGAACAGTCGGATATCTGGCGGCGGACAATTGCTTGCATGACTTGCATGACTATAACATGACAATAAGTATAACTAGGTCTTCAACACGTCGATAGTTTAATGAGCTTTGAAAAAACAACTTATTTATGTACATATATACATATATACATTCTTAACTATAAATACATATTTCTCAGATATATCAGTTATATATAAACAGTGTTTATCATAATGACATATTCGAAAATAATATACAATAACAGCTATTATTATCTTAAAGGTGGAATAGCATTGCCTTCTTCTAACTTATTTTTGATAAGATAATTTATTTGCAATGCTAAGGAATAATCGAGAAATGAGAAAATTTGTTGAGAGCGAAGATTTAAAACAGAATAAATTTAATGATTTCCTTATAATAAAAATACGAGAACATTTTAGACGAATGTTGAAATCGAACTTTTAAAAGGGTTCATCAATTAACTACACCTAATTCTGTTTTTACACGGTTTTGATTTAACACGGTTTGAAAATTAAAATTGTATACATATATGGGTACACGACTTTATTCCATTTAGCACGATTCATTCAATACCACCAAATTATTTTCTGATCGTAATTCGTAAAAGTTTCTTTCTTGTTAAAGCTTTTATTATGGAAAGTGATTTTTAACTATGAATTTTTGGCATTTGTGCTTTTATGTCAAGCCATTGCATGGCTGATCGAAACATGAAAATTATGCAAGGTATTCAGGCTACATCCCAATTTTCTTGGAGTGTATCTATAAAAGCGACAACAATGTAAATGAACGCCGACTCATTTGCATTTAATATAAGGCAAAATGAGCTTACCAGATGCTCAGCACGGTTGGGCTTTGTATGGAGTTGCTTGGGACTCATTCCTCCTCTATTTGTTTAGGCATTTTGTGAGGCTTACGCATGAGCTGACAGCTTTATTGCTAATTTATGTTGAGCGCTTTGCAATTTGAGCTCTGCGCCCTTTAACGCTTTTCCAGGTGAATCGCACGCATCAACGATTTTCTTTTTAATTATTTCGTTCTCATTATTATTTTTTCAGTTTTGTTTGCTGTCTAGGTGCGGTGGCCATAAAGATAAGTAGCGTCCAGCTCGTTCACGACTAATCAGCATTTCTTAATTAGCTGATTATGTTCGTTGTCAAGTAGTTTGTGGCACTTTTGTCGCTGCCTTTGATCGCCGGCAATGAGTTGAATAAACTTGGCTGGTATTTCTTTCCCTCTTCTTCATGCCACCATGTTTTTTACGCCAATTCCGCCCAGCGGAAATGCTGGAAAATGTATGTAACTGCTGTTGTTTCTGTCTGACAGCCGTCTCTTAATTTATTTTCATTTGCAGCCAAAAGGCTGGAAAAGTGTTCAGTTTGTTGATTTCCATTGCAATGCATTGCACTACGTGCTCATAATATGAAATGTTTCTTGGCAGAGCAACCCATGGAGCACATAAAGCGGCAGCTGCGAGGCACTTTCATAACTGGTTTTCTTTCGGGACTTCTTTTACAGTCTTCTGCCAAAAAGTTTCAGTCAAGTTAAAGCTCAAAGAAGGCCTGCAATAACTTTTTCATGTTTTTAAGATATTGAAAAATGCCATAAAAAAAATAATACACAGCTTTTAAGGTATGTACTATTATAAGCACTAGTTTGTTGTGGGTAGGTCATAAATTTTCATTAACATCGTTCATAAATTATAATGCCTGGCCGTTTATAAAATTTATTATCATTAATGCAAAATTTGCTGAAAATTATTAAAAATAAGAAATACGAAAACGCACATAAAATTGCTTGCCAAATTAAAAGCATAAAACGCAATGGTCCAACAACAACAAAATTGTTTTGCAATAATCATAATTTGCGGCATTAGTGGCCACGTCGACGCTTCGGGTGCCGTCGTCTGTAGCTCGTGGCGCTGATAAAATGTGGGGCCATTTATCAGGGGACTTGAGAAGGCTGTGGCTGGTATGCCCGCGGTCACGTTGGCGACGTGAAGCTGCAACTACACTATATAGACATCAACCCACAGCTTTACCTGCCCCTCTGGGAACGAATACGTTAGCAATTTATGACTTGTGCTGCAAATTTTGGCGCATTTATTTAACGTCCCTCGGCGTCGTGAGGGAGTGCGTTTCCCCCTCTTTTTTTCGTTGTTCTAGTTACATATTTGAAGCGCAAAGGCTACAGAAACTTTTTGGTTGAAATATTTCCAAAATTAGTCAGAAGTTACGAATGAGGTTTCCGGGCTTAGTTTAAGAGGGACTTGTCCAAATGGGGGCGGGTGGAAATGTTCCTGAAACTAACATTTAAGCCCATATAATTATAAAAAAAACTAGCACAGCTTTGGTCAAATCAGAGCTAATGAACAAGAAATACATCCTTGACCTTAATATTTAGCAAAAAATGAGGGAGAAATATACATCTCTCGTTTGTGACCTCTAGCTTAAATACTATACTTTATAAATATCAAGGTATTTCAGAGTTGGGCCCGCTAGCACTCCTCTGCTCTTGTATGGTAATTGTTTGATACGCAGATAAGTACATAAATATATATGCATGTACAAGTATGCATAGAGATCAAAAAACATCATTAACTCTGTAGTGGAAAGTGAATTTGTGTCTGGTCATAAAATGTTATACATTTTCAATAACAAGCATCGAGCATAAAAAATGCATGTTAACATCCTGCTAGCCTGGCTCGGGCCATATGGCCCAGCTAGAGGGCACTATTCCAACATGGTGCCATCACAAAGGAGCTCCGAGGGACAGCGACAATGGTTAACAGGACGACTACTTAACTAAGTTAAGTGCACAACAAATTTCCTGTAGGGCAGCGAGACAAACAAATTGCGCAAAACACTCGCAAAAGTCATAAAACGCGACATTCTCGTATATAGAAAAATATCCTCTTGGGACTAAATTGTGTAAGTGTTTATGTGTGTATGTGTGTGTGTGTATGTGTGTGTGTGTAGGATGTATATAAAAAAGCGATATGGGTAATATTGAATATGTAATATATAAGTGCGCAATGCATGCACTCACATGTGAAACAATATATATTTGCGATGCCATTAAACACAAAATTGGATTAGTGGCCGCTGCTTGGAGGACGTGCGAAAGGAGGCAACAATAAGAACAGCAACAGAAACAAGAACAAAAACAGGAACAATAAGAACACAACACCGATAAAGTTGTGCACACAGCATGTTGATATGGTGTAATAAATAATAATGAAGGCAAGGCACAAAGGCAAGCACCCAAAGGACAACGAACAACATACACACACACACTCACACACTTGTATACTTCTCCCTCACACCTAAAGGTACTGAGATAAGCGGCCACACACAATGATCAATAGCCTTGCGTTAGTATTGAGTGGGTACTGGATGTGGTATATGAGCCATAATGTATTGAGCATTTATGTGCGTATGTATATAGGATAGGCACAGATATGTATATGTATGTACTCGTATGTGTTAAGGAATGTAATGTGATGGGGCTGCTTACCTTCGTCCTCCACCTCGGCGTCGTTGAATTCCGTTATTTCCGCCTTATCGCACGAACGCTCCGCTCCATTTGTTTCTGCTCCTGTGGACGATGCCGAAGCCGCTGCTGATACTCCCCCGCCGCTCCCATTGAGCGTCGCTTTGGCAGCCGACTTAGCATCTCCATTCGAAATAATTGAATTTGATTTGGCGTGATTTGCATGATTGCTGCCCAACGCATCTGCCGAGCACTCCAGCGACGGTGCACTCGCCTCCACATCCCCGTTGACAGCATCGATGGCACTGCCATCTTTGGTCTTCAGCTCCTGACTTGTATTGCAGCCCATTGTTGTTACTTAGACTCTGTTGCGCGTTCTGACTTTGTTTTGCTTTCTTGTTGTTTGTTTTCGTTTTTTTTTTTTTTTTTTTTTTTTTTTGCCTAGGTTACCCCTAACAGCTAACAATATTGTTTAATCAATTGCAACAGCAACAACAATAGCAAAACACAAACTCACACAGCGATAAACAGTCGCTCGCACACACAAACACACGCACGCACACACACACAAGCACTCAGACACTTGTATACGAGTATTACTTTTGTTATTTTGCACTTTGCTCTTTTAGCGAAAACGTTGTGGTTGCAAATGTTAGAAAAATATTTCTTCTAATTTCTTAATTTGATTTACAAAAAAGCTCGAATACAAAAGTTACGCACAACCACAAATTAACACACTCAGACTGGGGCGTACGCTTTTCGACAGCACTGTTCGCCACTGCCACTGCTGCTGCTTCTACTGCTTCGCTTCTACTGTTGCTGACCAGGCAGACGGCACCGAGCAACGGAAATTTCAGGCTAGCCGCTGACACTGACACTGATTCAGGCTCTGGCTCTGGCTCTGACTCGGGCACAACTGACAAACGCAAGCGACGCGTTCGCACTGAATGCGCAACACACTGAAATTAAAAGGACCAGCCACCCATGGTCGCTATCCTGCAGGATTTCCACTCAACAGTCGTTGCCAGCGGCAGCGACGTCGCTGCTAGCGTCCCCATTGCCAGCCGGTAGTCAACGACATGAGCGCAAAATGAAAATAAAACAGAAGAAGGCAGAGAGGGAGAGAGAGAGCGATTACCAAGGCGGGCAGAACTTGCGTCGCAAATTGGACAACAGATGGGACGCACAGTGTTTTAATGGCTCAGCTATAATCCCAAATGCCATATGTAGGTAAAGAATCGCTTAAATCCTCGTTTTGTTGCAGCAACTCCAATCCAATATAGTCACAATCTTCGAAATTTGCAGACCCCATTGTTTAAAGTGCAAATATGCATAAACAAATTATTCATTTATCTGAGCTTGATAACCAAATAAATGTTACTATTGTAGCTGTTTTACCTATTAACGGTTTGAAAATTAAAATTTTTTTATATGGTTACATGACATTATTCCATTTAGCACGATATGATCAATGTCATTTTTATACGGTTTTTTTACACGACTTTTTCTGGAGCCAATCCACCGTGTTAAAACAGTGTTAGGTGTACTTATTAACAAGCCTTAATGAAAAATGTACAAAAATCACAAATTTGTAGAAAATAGAATAATCAATGTGTAAAGGCACCCACTATTTGGATCCAACAGTTCTCCTCACATTCGTTTTGATGATTCGGTTTCGTACCTTCAATTTCCCCAACGTCGCGACGTAAGTGTCGTTGTGTATTGGTTAAAGTTTACTAATGAGGGCATCATTATCTTATCCCACATCTCAAATTAATTAAATAAACAAATAATATGATAACGTAATTAATTTATTAAAATAAACAATAGAAAATACTGAATTGAAAAAAAGAGAATATGCAATTTCTAGTATGTGTAGATACGTTTTCTATTTTTAATAATAACTTTTAACTTTAATATTTTCTTTGCTCTCGTGGAACAATATTCAATACCACATTACCACATAGTTCGGTCCCACTGTGGGTATGCGAGTCAGAAGGCAACACCAAGTGAGCAAACAAAGAGCGGAGAGAGCGCGTGGCGTTAGCAGCTGTTATGGCTCGGCTTCGGCTGCAAAGTGTTCGGCAAATAAACAAACCGATAGCCAAGCTAAGCCGACAGAGCCACGCATATACTTGTACACACACACACGCACGCGCACGCACACAACAGCAGCAGACACCGCTGGGAAGTTTCAAAGGCAATGGCATCATCATCTTGCTGCCAGGGAGTCTGCACACGCACACAGCTGACACACACACACTCATATACCCGCATACACAAGGAGCTTTTTGTGTGTTGGTGTGTGTAGTGTGTGTGGTGTGTGTTTGTGGCAGCAGCCAGCCGTAAACAGCAAAAAAAAAACTCAAATAAAAACTTGCCTATAAAAATATCAATGAAAAGTTTTTCTGTCTTTGCTTTTGTTATATGCGCTGCTAACCATTTTTTTATACACTTCTGCCATTTTCCGTGTTTGGGGTGTTGGCGCCCCGAAAAGCATGCTACAATTTTTGCCACAAAGTTGACGCCGCGAATGAGCAGCGTTGGCATTTGCAACGTATTTTTGTTTTTTTTTTTCGCAACCACGACTATTCAACGAATTTAACTACTACTTCATGCTCTCTTTGCTTTCAGCCAACACTCGTCTCGTTCCTTTTTGCTTCGGCTGTTTCGCTTTGTCTGCACCTTTTGGGAGTTGGCGTGGTGCGTGTGTATGTGTGCGTGTTTGTCTGACTCCATTTACATACATACATATAACTCGTGTGCATGGACAGGCGGGTCTGTGTATGTCTGTTCCACTCGCAAATGAATTGGTTTTTTTTGTATTCGGTTTTGTTGTAGGGAGGGTGCTGGCTCTTTTTTTTTGCCCTGGCATTGCGCAAAAGTCAAGCACAGGGTGTCATAACAATAAAAGCAACTGCCTAGTGTTGAGTGCGACATAAACGTAAGATGAGGGCCACACATGTAAATACACACACACACACACACACCTACACATTTATTCAAACGTGTGCATTAAGAAAGTTTTCTGAACTTTAAGGTTCCGTTTGTCGTTGGACCGAAACGTGTGTTGCATACTCTTAGGGGTCGTGCATCAAGTGAAATGAAGAAAGTGACTTCATGTTCACATATCCATTCCCATACATTCCATTTGAATAATGTGGCACTAGAAGTTCCTTGGCTAATTTAGCAGGAGTCTTCATCGAAGAGCACGTTTCACTCATTTCGTGGCAAACACCCAGTATATTAGCACAGAAATATCGCAATTAGGGAGAGCTTTAATAACCGCTAATGAGGAAAATAGGCGCTCGCAACAAAATGTGCGAATTGTTTCTGAAGTGTCTATTGTCTAATAGCAGACAATTTGATTTATTTAAAGCCACTAAAATCAATAATGGTTTTAAGTCTAGTAATGCGAACATGAAACGGCAAATGCACTTATGTCTATTTTCTAAATCTAAAATTCTGTAAATGTTGGTTTACAGCTTAGAAATAAATGTGCGCCGTCAATATTTTGGCAACCCAAATGCAAAATCTGTTCCGAATGCAACCGTCATAGGAAGAAGAACAACTGTTGTGTCCGCAACATCAGCAAAAACAGCAAACCGACCATAGTTACAGCAACAAAAACAACGGTTACATAAACAAAAACAAGAGCAACATCAATTAAAACAGCATCGAGAGTTCCATTTGTCGTGCTATCGTACAGACTGAACTCGTAAAGCAACATAGCCTTGAAATGTGCGAATAAACGAGCGTTATATGCGCATTCGTAGCATCCAGCAATTGCGGCAGCAGCAGCAGCAACAACAACAACAAATAGGGTGCGCTGATGTCAAACAGACAGAAAGACAAAAAGGCAGACAGGCAGCCTACAGCCTACAGCCAGACAGACAGAATGTTGGTTAGCGAAACGGAACTTGTACTTATACGCCATCCCCAACCCGGCCACACAGAGAAACCCCAACAAGCCTGTGAAAATTCATGGCATTTTCTCAGAAATTTCCGTTTTTCGGCATTTGTCATCGCAGGCGCTTTTCTTCGTTTTGTGTAGCGCCTCGCCTCGACATGGCAAACGCGTGCGACACATAAACCCTTTTGGTTTGATAAAATGACTGACAACGCATTGCTTCGTTGCCTTTCCACTTGAGAAATAAACTCAAGAAATTCTCCAATTTTCTCGCTAAGATTATACGAGTAGACATGGGCATAGACGACCTTCCCCGACCTCTATCTTTGCGCATCATTTGCCCGTTAAAATGCAAAGTCATTATTTTGGCGCAGAGATAAAAATAGCTTGACTTTCTTCTCAGCTTCTTCATCATCAACTTCTTTGGGTCTTTGGTTTGTTCGGCACGAAACGAATAAATAGGAGAACAAGCAAACTGTTCTGTCATAGTAAATAACGTATACGTCCTGTTGTACTGCAAGGTGAGGCTGGGAGACAGCGTTCGCTCGGCCTACCCGCAAACAGACTCATTTTCCAGCAACATCGCCATGACTTCTGCTTTTGGTTTTGGTTGCTTCGAGCGTTGTTTCCTTGGGGACAGCTGCCAAGTGGAAAGTTTTTCGTTTCGTCTGAAGTGTAGCGGTGCGCATCAATTTGGGCATGGGTGAGAGGTTGGGACAACGAACAAAACATATAGATACTCGTAAGTACATGTGTATGTGTATGAACGGACGGATGGAAAATGTGTATATTTCTCATAGTTCTGCTGTAAATTTAAAGCTTAAATCAAACTGTAAGAAACAGGAACTAAGCTCTTTATCCCTTGCAGCAGAAAAATTATTGAAAGAGTCGGTCTTACCATTAAACCATTGAATAATGCAGGAACTATTATGTTTAGAAATCGATTTCGCAAATTTAATTAACCACATATTTTAGTTATTTTTCTCTCTGTGTATAAAATACTGCCACTTGTTTTCCAGCTTGTTTCTCTTACCGGAAATGTTTTCCAAAGGCTGCCTCAATTTATTTGCTAGCCCGATCCACCTATTTGGCTGGCATTATTTACTTGACTTTTCACCTTGACCATTACCTGCTCTTTTTCTGTGTATTGTCTGTCAACTGTTTATATACTTGTATAGTAGTCGTATATTTCTGTCTTACGTGCTGCTCGTACATTTGTATTTCCTTTCATGTTATTATTCCTTCGATGTAGCTCTAATATGTGTCTGAAGCAGTGGAATAAGAGGATGCCCTTCGGCACCTTTATTATTTACGCTCAGAACAATTTTTGTATTTTATGGCTTCTTTTTCTGTCCCTGGCAATACACAAAAAGTCGCTTCCCATAATTGGATAGGCGTCATCATGATGTATTGTTCATTTCCTTTTGTTGAATTGTTAGCAAAAACAAATTAATGATGCGTCGCGTTAGGCCGACTAAAGGGCGTAGAAATAATGCCGTAATAATAAACACTTTGCCCCCAAAGCAACACAAATGAATATGATATTTAAGGTAAGGCTATCACTATTTTATTTGTTAACAAACATACTTTCGTCCTCATACATCAAAAAAATGATAGCGCTCAATTGAAAACCAATGCAGGCTTTCTGAAGACAGCAAAATTCATGTGTATATGCATATAAAATGAACAATAGACACAATCTATGTATATACAAGTACATATGTATATAAATATTTTAAAAGCAAATAAATGAAACGAAAATAGATGCTTGGCCCAAATCCTTGTGCTATTGCTAGACCACCAACCTTCCAACAAAAGAGACGCCTGAAATGTGAAATAAAACACGATAGAGAAAACACCGTACCTACATTTGTTTATAATATCGAAGTAATTTTTATAGCCTGTGCCCAAAGGGTGAAAGGCTATACTAGTTTTGTGCGAATGTATGTAACACACAGAAGGACGCGTGGCAGACCCCACAAAGTATATATATTACCGATCAGGATGACAAGACAAGTCGATATAGCCATGTCCGTCTGTCCGTCCGTCCGTCCGTCCGTCCGTCTGTCTGTATGAGCGCAACGATCTCAGCAAGTACAATAGCTAGGATAACCAAACTTGGCATTGAGGTTCCCCTAAACCCTAGGCAGATCGAGTTTGTGTTTTTTTTTCTGATACACCCCCCACTCCCCCGCAATTCGTGTTCGGAATATACATCCAGTTCGTGGTTGTTGCTGCTTTGGTTCAACTTTATACTGCACACATACACGCATAGGCACGTGATGTAAATGTATGCTGTTAAAACTGAACAAAAATATGTTTATTAATTCAATTTTTTTTAATAATTTAATTTTAAAAAAAAAAATTTCTTTTTAAATTTTTCTTTTTTGTGGAGAGTACAGGCTATTTTACTGTCGGGCTTGCTCGACTGTAGCGTTCTCTCTTGTTAACAATAATTACCAGTTTTTTTTATTTGTTGCGTTGTGTAAGGCCCGGGAAATCATATGAAAATTGTTGAATGCTTTCAGTCTTGAAGCCTGCTATCGGTTGAGCCCATTATGCTAATACGCTATCCAACTGATTCTCGAACGCGCTTAAATCCCTTTGAACAACTCCGACAAGTGAGTGGTGCTGCTGGTGGTGGTGGTGGTGGTGGTGGTGGCGGTTTGCCACATTGCATGCTGCATGCATATGCATAGCATATCACGTTTCCCAGACGCCGCCGTCTGGCTGCACGCCAAACCAATATTAACGGCCATCGGGTTGAGTGTGTAGACACTATTCCGGCATTATCACGAACTATATACTATAGTCAACAGAGAGTCTGACAGACAGACAGACAGACAAACGGGAAGGCAGGCAGATAGACAGACAGACAGATAGACAGGCAGGCGGACAAGTGCAAACTAAAAATGGCAGTTCGTATGTCAAAAGCGTTGAATGTTGACTTTAAAATCACATTGAAAGGAGTCAGGACGAATGTAGCTCCAGTTCAATTACACGAGTCGAGTTGCGGTTGCTCGCACTGGCTGGCCTGCTCCCCACGCCCCACGCCCCTCTGCTCCTGCTGTCGTTTCTTCGCACACAAATGTTTATTGAAAGGTTACATGAATGACACACACGCCACAGACAGCGATGCAAGCACGAGTATATATAATTGTGTGAATATGTGTGTGTGTGTTTGTTGTCTTATATCTATTGCATGGAATCAAGGAAATGTATCCCGCCCCTGCTATGACAATAGCATGCATTTAGGCGCACGAGCGGACAGCAATTGCAGCTACGACTGTATGCGTACATGTATTTGTATGTGTGTGTGTGTGTGTGTGTGTGTGTGTGTGTGCGTGTCCAAACATATCTCTACTCTCTACGTGCAGTCGCGATAGACCACAATTTAAGGACTCCCTCCATCCCCATCCTCACCAACCAGCCAAATCAGTCCTAGCTCGTTTTCTTTTCAAAATACTCCATTTAAATTAATATTTCAATATGGCTCTGACATGCCCGGAGTTGAAACTTACACGCGCTTCAAATAATATAAATATGTACTCATCGATTTGTAGAACTAGCAATACAAGTACATACGTACATTAATGCTTGTGCATTCGGCATTTCTCTTTTAGTCACTACAAAATTACAAAAAGCTTTTTGCCTTTTTGCCTGCAAGGTTAAAAGTTACTTTCGCGGATTAAACTTGTAAGTTATGTTAAGTGCAAGAGTAAGTATATATTTTATATAAATAATACACAACAGTTACCATTTCGAGTGCTCTTAAGCACAAGAAAAGTGTGAAGCTTTTTACTTAGCTTTATTTAAACATAACTTAACTTAACTTTAGTACTTCTAAATTCTCTTCAACACACACAACGAAACAACTTTAGAAATGATTAATTTAAGTAAACTATTAATATATAATAAGAAATAATAATTAAAGCTAAGGCAAATTGTGAAACTCTTAAATGTAATTGTAATATTAAATGTCAATTTAAACTAAATTAATCCTGTAATTGAATTAACAATTAACTGAATGAAATGAAATGAATATGTAATGACTAGCGTAATAACTAAAAAGTAATCTCGTACTTGTAACGCTAGGATAAGTTAATAAATAAATAAATAAAAAAAACAATTTCTCAAAAATTGCAAGAACATACAATATTCAAGTTGGTCTGATATTTGCTACACTAAGTGGAAGGTGTTGTAAACTAACTGCAGAGACTCTTTTGTTCAAATCCTACATTAATGCTATTTACAGCTACGAGTATTATCTTCAGCTGTCGCAGGAATTATCGGATACATTGACCAGTCAAGGCTTGATTTTAAGGCTGTCCTAATCAAATTTCAAATAAGTCTCTTTTATACTACTAGAATATAGTGCCACAGCTGTACTTCAATCAGACGACTTTATTTGAATCAACGACAGAATCCCTTCTATCACTCGTTTCGCTCAAATTTGTCGAACTCTTTGTTAAGCTTCCTTACTATAGTACCAGATACCTATAAAAATGGGTAGCAATAGCTATCTCCTCTCATAGACCACAATGTTCTCATGTTTACGCCTAAAGCCAGTGCTACAGGACGCCTGGACAATTGGAAAAATCAAGACAATTACGCAAATAAACAGTTTTACCGAAACTATGCTTAAAATATTGGCATTCAAGAGAAAAATAGATATACTGAATGTTCCAATACACACTATCTACTGGCTGTCCTAAGTTCAGGAAGAAAATATGCTGGTTTCTCTTCTTAGTGAAAACCTATACCCCGATATAAAAAAATATTCAAACTTCGGTCTCCTGTGACTAAGCTCTGAATTATCAGTTAGCAATTAGCATTAACTGAATTTATTGGCGGTCTACATACTACATTTTATCAAAGATTTTAAAAGTTTTAAAAGTACTTCAATTTGTTTTGCGATTTATTTCAAATATAGTGTCACAGCATGTACTTCAATTTGATTTGCGTTTTATTTTAAATATACGATTATACTATATTGTACAAAAATAATTTATTAACATTCGGTTTTTGTTTCATAAATTGCTAGCTTCGTTTTAATTTAATGAGAATCCTTTTCCAACTCAAACCACACACATGCCGCTGGCAGCCCAAGGCTAAGCAAAGCATGATTAAAAGTATATTAGCCACGAATAAGCATTCAGTAGCAATGACAACTTAATCTATGATTCATGTTTGCCATTTAAGGTATCATAAACGTATTTTCAGAACAATTTCATGCTGTCGATAAAAGCCGAGCACTACTCACTCGACTTTCGTGGAGACACTTCCATCAGCGATTGGAAATAAAGTCGCTTACAAATAGCGCTGAGAGTTTATGGTTATGGCATTGTTAAGCGCATGGCCCGCCATTCAGGACCGTGGCGGACATTACATGGTTTGCTCGCCAGCTGCCGTTTGCCTACGCTTTTTTAATTAACAATTACGGCATTGAGTTAACAGACATGCCACAAATTAACGTAATAACTAGAAAATTACAGAAATAATATAGTACAAGCACACAACCGCTGCTCACATGTTGACGTGTGGACAGATGCGCAGGTGGACTGCTGAATTCACAAAGGTGGCATGAAATTGAAAAGCACACCCATGTGGGACGCACACCAATGCCATGTATGGCAAAACAAACAAATGGCGGCGCGCCTTGGACCTCGACGACGCATGCATGACGCAGTCGTTCAAGTTAAAGCCAAAGCCATACATTTTAATTACGTTGTTCTTTTACACCTTAACGTGTTGAAATGCCATAAAGACGGGCCAGAATAAACATGCGGCCAATGTAAACGGAACTGAGGAAAAAGGGAGAAAAGCTGAATAAAAATTTTGCGCTCGGCATGTGCAACAATTAAAGTTTCACGACAGCCCAGGCAAAATATTTGCGTGTGTAGTTACAACCACAGGCAGCTCATATTTTGCGGCCAAAGGTGTGGAAGTTCGCTTGGTTGCCCAAAATGCCAGCATTTATTGCCTTGGTGTGCGTGTGTGGGGCAAGTGGCCTGCCTGGTCAATGATACAACCAAAACGTTAATTTCCGTTAGCTGGGGTGTGGATGAGTGTACAAAGCAAAGTGTGCACAGACATGCAAATTTCAATTTAGTGGAAAAGCTTTTTCTTGGTGGCAAATATTTTTTCGGGAGAGAGGGAACATACGGTTTTGGTTGCTGACACGAAGGTCAAAGGCAATGAGAAACTAAAAGTAACACTCCTTCCATCAAACTATACATATGTCAGCAACCGCTAGCAACCGAATTTCTAATTGGACGAAGTGTCACTGATGGCCTCCTTTTGGAAGCTCCACGCCACGCTCCAGCGATTAGTGTGGCCTTGATAGAATTCTGTGGTGCGAGTATTGCTTATATTTTGCGCCTTCAAATAGTCCAAAATCTTTGGCAAGTTGGCCTTGATACCCAGCATGGTGGTGAAAATACTCACACGCTCCTTGTACAGCAGACTCTCGTCGATGATGCGTTTCACAAATTCCACTTCGCCGCCCTCACAGGTCAATTCCTCTGCACTGCCGGTACGCACAGTTTTGGGCGCTGGGCGACGCGTAGGATTGCGTGTTTTGCCTGCAAATGGATTTGGGGAATTCGAATCGAAGAACGGCGGATTGCAGATACAAAAGTGAAACTGCTCTTTAGTGGCATTAGGCGATTCGAAATAACTTTTGAATATTGTGGTCTTGTCCGGTTGCTGATAAACTTCGATGAGCGACTGCAGCTCATTGCGTTCGATATTTTTCTGTGCATATTCTATGTTGATCTCCTTCGATTCCAACGCCAGCATGTGCCATTTGTTCTTCTTGGCGGCCAGCAGTGAGTAAACACACGAAGAGCCGCAGCCTGCAATTTAGCAGCGAACGTTTGTCTCAATAGCAAGCGGTTAATTACCAATTACCTACCGATGTCGATGCCACGCACTGTGTCCAGTTTAAGCGGCTCAAGCAAATCCTCCAGCCAGAGCACATAGTTTAGACGCAACGCCAAAGTTGGCACCAAGCTGCCGGGTGCGAAATCAACCTTCAGATCGAAATATTCAAGCAGCAACATTTTGGCCAACTCACGCAACGCCTGCTCATTGCGAAAATCCACCGATACTTTGCCATTCAGATTCTGCAAAATTAAACAAATTACTGGAAAATAACAAAGGGTTTTTAAAGGCTACACTACTTATTGACATAACTAAAGGCCCAAAAATGTAAATTTGTTTAATTTTTGGAAACAATCGCCGACGTGAAAGCTGTTTACTTCAATAAAAGATGTGCAGCAACTCTTGTTCCGTAAGGGAAGCACTTTAAGATTGATGATTAGTAATTATTTGTTCTCATCGTGGTAGGATTTACAATATAGCTCTGCATAGGACCGGATTGTGGATTTGGGGGACTCCCTTCTCTTCAAGGCAATTGAAGAGGCTGGTAAAGCTGGTAAAGGAGGTACGCATACGCAACCATTTCAGTTTTCTTACCAAATCACACACTTTACGGAAATCCTTGTACTTAATAGCCAGCTTCGTATAGTCGGGCGGTGTGCGCAGCACATTACGCGGATGCATATTGTTTTTTTTCTTATTAATTCGCGTCATTTTGAGCAGCAACAATTTGTTTGGTTTTAGCCGGCTGTATAGTCCCAACGTGACCAGATAAAGGAAAAAAGTAGTGCCGCGCTTTGAACAAATTCTCATATCGAAAATTCCGTATGTATCGATAACACACAGTCGGTGCTGCCACTTAGAGCGGAATTTTGTTCGCACCAAACGCAAATTGCAGCGGATTATTGTGTTTATCAAAATATAATAAATAAATATGTCGGAAACAAGCTCAAAAGAAAACGTGAAGACCGCAATGACCTATATCTGTGGTGGTAAGTTTTACAGAGGACTTAAATTATATGGTTATTGAGTTCCACTATTTTACACGCCGGGGCACATGTGTTTTGAATTTGTTTTTACTGGAAATAAGTATAATATATCTAGTTATACTAATACCTGTGGAAATGTCTTGCAGAGTGCCACCACGAAAATGAAATGCGTCCACGTGATCCCATACGTTGCCGTGAGTGTGGCTACCGCATCATGTACAAAAAGCGCACCAAGCGTCGTAAGTAGCCGCTGGCCACAGTGCTTCTCAAACTGTTCCACTAAATGTGACTTCTTTTGCAGTTGTTGTGTTTGATGCCCGCTAAGCTATACTTGAACGATCTATTTAGGAGCAGCAACTACTGTAGTCTTTAGCTTGTAATTGGATATACATAACTATAGGACCATTGGAAAACTACAAATGTCTTTTTTCTGTATTGGAAAGCGAATCAATAAACTTGATGCAGCCGAAAATACGAACATTATAAAACATATTCACTTTGCTACTTTAACACATTTATCAAGCTTCAAGTATGACCATCATGACCATCAGGGATATATCCATTAAACAGTTGGACTAGTACTTGTGGAAATCTCTTGCAGTGTACATACCATCACGAAAATGCAATGCGTCCAAGAAGCGCTGCCCACAGTGCTTCTCAAAGTGTTCCACCAAATGTTTTGTGTTTAATGCCCGCTAAGTTACATACTTATATGAGCATACTGCTCGGGGGCAGCAACTACTATACTCTTTAGCTTGGAATTGGATATACATAACTATACGACCATTGGAACTAACTTTCTGTGTTGGTAAGCCAATCAATAAATTACTTTATACTTTTATAAAACCTCAAGTATGACAAATTCAAGGATATGTGTATGTGTCCAAATCATATAAATTTCCGATCCCCATGTCAAACATGATCGCTTTGCGATTCCAAGACCTTCTTACTTAATTAAAAAAAAGTCAGCAAAACACGTTGAATTTCATATTTTAAACTAATTATCATTTATTTGAATGTTTCGGAATTATAATGTAAACTAAAAACACTCACAGTAATTGTAATTATTTTATATTTATTACTCATTTACTTTTTGTGTTGCAAGTTCTGCTTAAATAAAATGTAAAGTAATTCTTTAATGTTGTATGTTTTTTTGTCTTCTTTCTTTTAAATGTCTTTTTTCGTCTCAAAAATTTTGTCTAAATGGCTTGTCATCCAAAAATTTACTTAAGATTTTTTGAGTTGAGTTATTCATCTCGTCATTTTGTTCTTTCTTTAGTTTGTAATTAATTTACGTTTAAGTTACCACATTTAGCAAAAACACACTTTTACGCTAAAAATTGTTTATACCTTTATTTATTTTCTTAATATTTCCCCGACACTTTTCAGTCAAATATTTTTGTTCAGTGTGGTAAAAAGTATTTTTGTTTTCTTTGAGTATTCTTATGTTGTGTTCCGATAAAATCATAAATACGACTACACGTACAGTTATATAGTTAATATTTATATAAGTTGCAATATGCAGTTCATTGCAGTGTGTGTGGTGTGGAGGTGTGGTTGGGGGGCGTTGTGGCTGTTGCTCAGCATGGCGGGTAGCCGCAATTTCAAACTAAAACTAAACGTATTTTCATGTTAAAGCTTAAATTAAAAATAATAAGGCAAAAACGTATGAAACGTAGCTGGGATGATTTCATAAATAAAGTATTTATAGCTAAATTTAATTGTAGTGACAATCATAGACGCCCTAAAATGTAATAATAAGTATATATAAAAAATGGCAAAAAACTTAAAATATTAATCGAAGCTTTGAAATGGCAAATTAAAGCTTTTAACTTCACATCAATTTAAAACAAATGGAAATCAATCATCAAAAACATTTGATAAATGCTCATAAAATAGTATGTATACATACTTATATAATTATGATATACAAGGTATGTGCATGCTTGTACATATGTATATTGTTCATGTCTTTGCTTTCAACACTACTATGTGAGTATTCCACAAGCGCATGTACTCGTATTTGTGTGTGGGTGTTCACATACTCGTACATAACCTTGATTGTATAACTAATATAATGAAATTCATTCAAATTATGCGCTAGAGAATTTAAACGATTTTTACAGTATTTCGATTTTTGTTTTGCTTTGTTTTTAAAAAGAGAAATCATATTTCAGGTACATCACAACTTAAAATTTAAAAAAATAATGTGTTTTTATTTTGTTCAAACAATTCCCAATTTGAATGTTCAATGCCTGATAATTGCATTTGTTTCATACATACTACATACATACATACTCGTACATATGTATATGGCAGCAAAAATTTGCTAAGTGAAAAAGTGATTAGACAACGTTGTGAAAACAATTCGCAAGAAGTAACTCAATGAGCCTAACACAGTTGAACAGCGAGCGTCTTCAGTTGTGCATGCTTGAGACGCTTGTGCAATGCCAAACTGTAGTTTTGTGCAAACTGCGCGCCACACTGCCGACAATTGGTGTTGCTCCTTCCGCCATTCGTGCCGCAATGTTTCCAATAACGATGCAGCGCCAAAGAGCCTTTGGTGTGGTAGCTGAAGACCATGCCCCGACCTTGTCCTCCACTGGCATTGCTGCACAGGGCGCAGCTGAGTTTGTGGTGGCCCATGCGATTGAGATATTTGTCTCGTAACTGAGCGATCATTGCCTCGGGTGTGAGGCGTATTTTCTTCGGCTGTGCCTGTTTTCGTGAGGAGCGCGCAGGCTCTACTCCAGCTCCGGCTATGCCTGAAGACGACAATGACGATGATAACGACGATGAGGACAATGTTGTCGGCGGCGGAGGTGTGCCGGGCTTTTTGCTGAAGTCAAGCGGTGCTGCTAAGTATTCCTGCTTGCTGGCCGCATCAGCGAGTAGCGGCAATAGCGTGGCCAGGTGGTTGAGTGATTTGCGTGAGGAGTTGCTTGAGGCATTCATGTTGGGTACCTTCTTAGGACTTTTTCGCATGGGCGCAGCCAAATCCAGTTGGCGCTTAAGCAGAGATGAGGGCTGCGATTTGACAGCCACTGCTGGTGCTGCTACTGGTTGTTGGTGTTGTGCTGGTGGTTGTGGTGGTAGCGGCGTTGATAGCGGCATTGTGGGCGTCTTGGGCGTGATAGTTAATGTGATATCCTCCTTATTACGCAAATACTCAATATACTCTTCAGTCTCGCTCAACAGACGTCGTCGCTTGTTGGGTGAGATTCCGTGCTGACGCTGCTCGTGTTGCTCCCGCTCCCGCTGCTGACCAGTGGTTGTTGCTGTGGGCAGGGCAGCAGCTGCGGCGGCTAACATGAGCGGCGTTTCGGCGGCATAATACTTATTGATAATATCCTTAACATAATTCTGAAATTGTGTGCCAATGCGATTGAGATTCTGATACTCCATTTGTGTGAGAAAGGTTGTGTTGTTGTTGGTGTTGTTGTTATTGTTTGGTGTGTTTGTTGCTGCAGCCACTGCGGTTGCTGCAGCAGCTGCAACAGTGCTTGCTATTGCTGTTACATTCGTGTTGTTCTCCTTGTCATCCTGGCAATGATGATGAACGGCATTTCTTGACGCTTTATTGTTGTTGTTGTTGCTGCTGCTGCTGCTGTTGCGTCCATTTTGGTTGTTGTAATAGTTGCTGTTATTATTGTTGTTGTTGTTGTTGTGATTTGTATTTAGTTTATACGCGGGAGACGATTTAATAAGCTGCGCACGATATTGCTGCTGCTGGTGTTGCTGATTCTCTTGATCCTCATCGTTTTCGCTTTCGATTTTAAGCTTGCGCTTACTGGCGAGCAGTTCGATGGCCGTTTGCTCGTAAGCAGCAGCTTCCAGAAATGCCGTCGCCATCATCGCCTTGGTGTTCTGTGCTTCCTCATCGGCATCAGCAATATGTGGCGTGTTGTTGTTGCTGCTGCTGTTGCTGTTGCGCGACAACTTCATTGGCGACGTCGCCGACATGTTGTACTCGTCGCCCGAATAGGTCGAGGAACTGGCCGATGAGGGTGTGTTCTCATCATCCTCGCCGGTGGAATGCTGGCGGGCACGGATGCCAAACTTCTGTCGCTGTTGTTGCTGCTGGATGTTGCCCATGTTGCTTAGGCTGTGGAGTAGCGCAGCAGCCTCTCGTGTCGTCCATTGCGAAGGCAGTTTATTATTGAACAGGAGTTGATGATTCGCTGGTATTTTCAACTCGTGCACGCCTCCCGCTTTATGAAAATCCTGAGCGACCGAAGCGGTGTTGCGACTAATGGCGTCCATTTTAAGCAGACTGCAAAAGACATAAATGGAAATTGTGGTTTAATAAAATGTAATGGAGTACAATAAGAAGCAGAAATTAATAAAAATTGAAAACACAAAATCCTCTTGATACAAATTAACATCTAAGGTAACAATATAACGAAAAAATATGCCACTTGGAAAAACAAACACAGTATTTTTCGTGTAAAAAAATGCAACGAATAATACGGTTTAGTAAACGGAAAAAATTTGCAAGGATACACATGAAATGTATTTGATTTAAGTAGAAATTAAATCAAAAACGTAAGTTTCGAAGAAAGTAAAAGGACGCAAGCAAACAACAAACTGAAGCAACACACATACAAATGTTTCCGTTTAAAAGAAAAGTACAAAATCAAATGGGACAAAAATGAATAAAGTAGGCAAACAAGACAATTTTCAGATGGAAACTCAATGGCAAATACCGCGCATAGTCCTCCGGATCGCTGCCATCGGCCTCAAGATATTGAAACAATCGTTCTGAGCCGCGTTTTTGTGCGGCGGCATTCGGCAGGCCGCCGGTGAGCAGATCATGCGGTGGTATCAAGGAACCGTTGGCACTCAAACGCCAACCTACCATCGATGTCGGATTCACAATGATCTCCTGCAGGGGGCCACCGGTAATGTTGCCGACACCGGTGCCGGTGGCGTTGCCGCCACCATCATTGGTGCTTGTGGTCGTATAGATGGTCACGGCACCACCGCCGGCATTTCCAACGGTATTGCTGGTGCCGCTCGAGGTATTGCTAAAGGTTTTCAGTTAACGAAGACAGACATCATCGCAGAGCATCAGAGAGTGGAACGCACAAAGAGATGGGAGAACAAGAACGAGGAGTGGTCTAGTTAGCTGGTTGCTCGCTGAGTGAATTGTTTGTGTGTGAGTGTGTTACTGTTTTTGGTTTGGTATTTTGTTTTTGGGAGGGATCTGAAAACGTTACCCAAAAGCGTTGCCGGCATTGTGGAACGTATTCAGTTGATTGTTGGCTACCAAAGTGTTGCCAATGGTGCGCAATACATTGAGATTATTATTATGCGTTGAATTGTTAGTCGAGCTGTTGTTGTTATTGTTGTTGCTATTGTTGCGGGCCGGGCGATTGTCGTGCGGACTGCAAGTTTTGGATTAAGAGAGTGGATGGTGGAAGGTATTGATAGAAAGTGAGTATGGTTAGTAATTGAGGCAATAAGCAGTAGGACTAGATGATATCGAGAGATTAATAATAAGCACCAGAGAAAATCAGACTACATATATAGTAAGTAGAACGACTACATATGTATATGTTCATATGTGTAGGCTCGACAAAATTCTGCATTATAGCACAAAAGCTCTATACTACTTATATATATATCTAAAATTTTGAGGCATATTGACCGACCTCTAATGTTTTCTTATATATTAGCGGACCTCAACTAGTTTCTAGGCAATAACAGTAAGTCAGACGAGTTGAGAGAGAGGTTGGAATTCTATGGGCTTAAGACGTGCCCAATCCCTCACATAAAAGGTTTGTATGGACCCATTATACCTCTAGTCCCCGTGCTCTTTGCTTAAGAATCTAATAGGATACTTACTGCACATCACTCATGTGCGCCTGGAACTCTTCCTGGGTGTCCGCCAGATAGGAGCACTTGCTGCAGGCGCGCTTATTGTGCACCTTAAGAACATGTGTGGCTAGGCGCTCGGAGCGCGCCGCCTTGTAATCGCACAGCAGACAAACGAAGGGCTTTGTATGCGTATTTAGATGACGCTTAAGGCCCCACTTGTCAGCCCCAGACCAGGGACAATAGCAGCAGGTGAAGCGCTTCTCTCGTTTGGGCTTCAGCAGACCCGATCCATTGCCGTTGTTGCCATTATTCGAGCTCGAGCTGGACGCAACCGGCGCAGCCACTGTGTTCGCCATAACAACACCTCCCGCACCTACATGTAGTGGCAGCACGGTGCCATCGTCTAGTTTCTCCTGCTTGAGCTGCGTCAACGGCATATCTGCTGCCGAGGCTACTGCTTCAATGGTCTCCACAATGCTCATGCTGCTCGAGGGTATGGTGGGATGACGTTGGGCTTCCAGGAAGGCATTGTCAATGTTCACATTGGCCGGATTGATGGTCACGTTGCCCCGACCGCCCGAATGATGCGAACCACCGCCTCCGCTGCCTGCAGGCACATGACGTCGCGTCTTGTTGATGTCGTACTGTAGTTCGCGATGCATGCGCAGGAAATGCTTTTTCACATGATCGGCTCGATTGAATTGCTTGAGGCAGGCATAACACTGGAAGGGCTTCTCGTCCTTGTGTATATTTTCGTGGCGCGTGTACAGATCTCGCCGATCTGTTGAGTAGGGACAGTGGGTGCAGGCATAGCGTTTCTGTATGTGCACTCCATTGGCGGCAGCGGCGGCCTGCGCCTGCGCGGACTTCTTGCGACTGCCGCCTCCGCTGGAGCTACTGCTGCCGCCGCTGCTGCTGGTGCTGGGCACCCCCACATTATTGTTGCTGGACGAGGTGGGCGTGGACTGGACCAGATTCTGAGCAGCCGCATTCGCCGAGGTAGAGGGGCTGGCATAGATTAGCTCGCTGCCGGTTGTGGGATGATGCTCCTGACGATGCTTTCTGAAAATCATATGGAAATTAGAAAAGCGTTAGTAAAGGAAGCCCCACAAATTACGATCCATCTATTTGATCACCCACTTATTAGATCCAACATCATTTGAAATTTTCTGTGTTTTTATGTGTGACAATATTTCTACCACTACTAATTAGCAGGTATCAGGAATTGTCTGATAAAAGCAATTAATAACTGCAAATATTTTTCATTGTAAAAAGATTGACAACTCTATTTCATTTCGTATTTTCTTTAAAAGCTGAAGTTATTCCTGAACTTATTAAAGCTATTAATTAGTTTAAAAAATTGAAGAATTTGTCAATATATTTCTGAAGTATGTATGTATATATGCAAATATGCATTTCCCATTCATTATTTTATTCAATTTAGAATCTTTTGTATACATATGTATAGAAAAATCGCTATCCTCTTAATTAACTTTTTAGATAATTTGCGACCTTGCTTCCAAAATATGCTACTACTTAAGAATTGAAGCATTGAAGTAGACAACATTTGACTTACTTGGACTTGGGCGTGCTGCTCTGATGCTGTTGTTGTTGCTGTTGTTGTTGCTGCTGCTGTTGTTGTTGTTGCTGATTGGTCGCATAGCTCTGGAGCTTGCCGCCCGTCGTCCATTGGACTAGTTGGGGCTGTTGTTCGGCCCCGGTACCGTCTTGCGCCCAACGTTGTTGTTGCTCGCCCGCCTTCTGAATGGCCTGCTGGGTGGTGAGCAGAGTACCCGCCTGACCAGCTGCGAAGCCGTTCTGCATGAGCGCGGCCAATCCAAAGGCTGTGCTTAGGTGATCCTCTGACTTGAAGCTGCCCACAGCAGCGACACTGGGAGCTGCCACGATAGAGCCTCCGGCTCCACTTGCTGTGACTACAACGGAGTTTCCAGCATCCGGCTGTTGTTGTTGCTGCTGCTGTTGCTGTTGTTGGATTACATTGGCCTGTGTGGTAACCACGTTGCTACCCCCGTTGCCGCCCGCTCCGCCAGTGCTGCCACCTCCAGAAGCCGCATTATGTTCATATTCAATGCTGGGGGCCGCAGAGCGATCAATTTGTTGCTGCAGAAATGGGAAAAATTGAGGGCTTGAGGTCATGTTTCTCTATCTATTTCTTCTTCAGCTAGTACTTACCAGATTTGTGAAGGAGCGCTGCTCGCCCTCAGGCACCGCTGTCGGACCACTGGTGGCCACTTGGGCCACCGGCGTACCGAGCGTATGCAAACCGTTGCCGGTCTCCTCGCCGTACAGTTTACGTGTGATTTCCTTGAACATATCTTCATATGTCGCCTCAACATTTGAGGACTGTGAGCTCGTCGCTTGAGAGCTGGGTGGGATTAGTGTTGCCATTGCTCCGGCTGTTTGGGGGTTGATTGCGGGCGCGTTGCTATAGAATTGCAGCCACTACTTCTCTCGCTTTTGCCTCTACGTGAGCGCTTTGAATGCTGCAAAGTAAAGCAAAGATAAACAAGAGAATGTAAAGTCAAGTTTGACAAATAAATACTTTGGAAAAGAGATAATCAGAGAGAGAGAGAGAGGGAGAGAGAGCGCGAAATTTAAGTTAGTCAAGGTGTTTAACGCACATCCGGCAAATTGCCGAAGCCTCAAACGATGTCTTTTCTGAGAATCGCGCGCTGACACACGAACCCAAACTGGCTTGGGCGCTTGCGTGGGGGGCTTCGGTTTCACCGACATCGTCAAAGTCGTCGTCGTCGTCGTCGTTACTGTCGTCTTTAGCAGCATCAGCTGAGTCAGCACAGATTTTGAGCGGGCTTTTTGTTTATGGGATTTTATTGTTTGTGTAGCCGCAGCTCACCCGACAAAAAATTCACAAGCACACAAAATATGCTTTTGGAATTTCAGTTCCGACTTCGATGCGAAAAATGGGGAAGCTTACAAGTATAAAGATAGGAATCAACAATTTGAGTCTGATCTTGATTTTTGTAGCTTTGTTTCCAACACTTAATCAAAAATAAATATGCAGTTCAAATTTGAAAATATTTTCATCAATTCAAACTCTGTGTTTTTGTCGCCGCCCATTTTTTGTTTAGTTTGGATATTTGCGACCTAAACTCAGGCCCAGGCTTGGCGCACAACGTCTTTTTTGCTGCATAAATTAATAAATTTACCACAGCGGCGACAGCAACAACAACGATGCGCTGACGTGCCCAGCAACAGTACCACCAATAATAAGAACAACAACGGGGGCAGGCACTCAAAAACCCATAGAGCAAGCGCACACCCAATTCTTGGCGCATCGTAAAGACGCAAGACAAATTGTCAGCGGCAACAACAGAGAAATAAAACAACAACAACAAGAAACTGTTGCCCAAAGCACACACATACTCTCAAATGTTGTGCATTTTGGCGGCACTTTTGTTGGCCAATTTTTGGTTGCCTTAGCTGCAGTGGGTGGTTTGGTTGTTTGTCCACATGTTGCTGCGACCCCCTTGGACTTTTGGACTGGGGGCACAAAAGTTTTGCCACAGTGTGGCAGCAACAACTAAAGTTGCTGACCAATTGTTATTATTGTTGTTGTTGATGTTGTTGTAGCTCACCCACGCCACACCAAATCCGTAGCAGAGTGGGAGCCAAGACCCCACAGACCCGTACCCCATTGTGAGCGTTGTTGTTGTTGTTTGTATTTTTTAACGCTGTTTCTTTAGCTTCGCTTTGCCTGCCTGTACGCCCTCCCGCCTGTCTCCCGTCCTACCTCCCCGCCGCCTGTTTGCCAGCTTTTAGAGTTCATATTTCGTATTTGAGTTTTGCATATTTGATTTTATGCTTCGTGTGCTTTTTGCACAAGAGTTGGATGTTGTTGTTGTTGTGGTGGTGGTGGTGGTGCTTGTAGTGTGGCTATGGCCGTCAATGCGGTATGGGGGCGTTGTTTTTGTTTGCTTTTTGCCTTTTGCGGCTTTTGCTTCGGTTTGTTGGGTCTGTCTGCCAACCCAGCTCCATACACCCCCCCACCCTCCCAGCTCTCCACCAACACCTCTCGATCCGAGTAAGAGTCAGAGACTGCGTGTGGTTTTTGAAGCGAAGGGCATTTATTGTTCAAGCGGGAGTTGTAGTTGGTGCTGTTGCTTTTATTATTTTTAGTGGTGCTTGACTTTGACTGCATTCAAGATCAAGTCATGTACATAGATATAGTATAGTATTACTGTAGCCTTCCAGTTCGAATAGGCGACATGGATTTTCGAAAAGTAAGTAACGAAAGTTACAATTAGATGCAAATACAGGTTATATAGTATGTCAATATTCCTATAACATATTCTTTAAAAAAACGTTGACATAAAAATTACATTCGATATCTTCTTACAACTGAAAAACACAAATAGCATTTTATCAAAAGAAAGCAGATAACATTATTCTAAATGATCCTCTTTGAAACAGAGCCCGTGATACATTGATCGATAATAGCCCCGATGGGCAAGGGCATGCAAAACTCTTTTTCATGTGCATAGAGTACATACGAGTACATAGTACATATGTTTCCTTCTGTACTTACATACATACTATATACTTACAAATGTACATCAAGCAACAACAAAAACAAAAGCCACCCACCCACGTGTGTGGGTGTTGACAATGAGACACGGGTGCTACCATCGAATGGCTTGGCACAGAGTGGAGTGGCGTGTCATGGAGGCCACAGGCGGCGGCTACAACAACATCCGCTTCGCTAATGGCACACAGTAATAACAACAGCAACAACAGCGGCGACTGCGGCGTAAAACGGGCGCGTCAGTGAGTGGGCTGAAAATGGGCGCAACAGCCGCTGTCGCAGAAAACAACAACAGTAACAACCAAATCAATTTACAACAACTCTACATCGCACATCAGAACGATCAGCGACGGCTGTATGTGTATGTGTGGGTGTGCAAAAAAAAAACTACAGAAAAAGCAGAGACGCCGCCGCAATGACAACGCAATTTGGGGGAGTCAACAACGATGTGTCGAGAAAATGAAAGAGAACAAGAGAGAGGGAGAGCGCCAAAACGCGAAACCGGTTGGCAGCTGAAAAAATGCCGGTTGGGGGAGCACCGCGTGCTGTTGTTGTGCCTGCTTCTGATATTGTTTTTGTATTGCTGCTGTAATATTTATACATAAGAGCAAGAGCGTCTTTCCGATCGCCACACATGCGTCTCTCCCCTAAAGAGGTATGGGTGCCAACAAGCAGCTGCTTTCGTTTTATGTTCTGTGATCGCAGCTATTGGAAATTTTTGAGCGGCTGCAAAAAAAAAAACGCTTTGGCGCAGTGGGTTAATTGTTTGGGGTATTCTGTTTCCATCAAGAGAAGAAGCTCAACCAACATCATTTTAAGGATATGTGGAAACCATATAGCGTAGCGGCGTTCCAAAACAAATGACACTTCATTTCTCCAAATTGAAAATTTGCAATACAAAATTTTAAACAAAGCAACGAATCTTGTGAATCAAGCCAAGGAATCATATGTAACAATATGAAATTAATTTTGTGACTATTTCAATGCACCTAGTATATATAAAATATATATTTATATTTATATACTTTTATACATGCTTTTTTATGATGGCTGTTTACTGTAGGTATTTGTTGTCGTTGCCATAATTGTTGCGTGCTATTAATGGACCATCATCAGCTAACCAGAGTCGATCGAAATGGGTCGCAAGTTGGTGGTAGATTTTTACATTTTATTTGGGAGGGGTGGGAGGCATGACAAGGTATTGGCTGCGGGTGTACGTCAAAGCGCAAATTACTAAGCACAGGCAGACAGATATTTGCATGTATGTGTGTGTCTGTATGTATGTACACATACATATATTTGTGTGTGTAGTTAAATACACATTTTTTAACACCCGTGGGCTGGTCCGACCTGGCAGCTCAGGGTGAGCCACAACATTATTTGTGCGCTTTGACTTGGTTGCTGTTATTGCTTTTGCGCTGCTGCGGTGAAAGGCCAGGCAGCGGACGAGGTAGACAAGGAACGCTAATGACATGTTAACGCCAGCTAGCCAGGCCGCAATCATCTGTGCCGTCGCCATCACCAATCGACGCCGCCTCACGCAGTTATTAAAAAACATTTTCGCGTATGTGGCACTGGGACAAGGGAGCGAACATATGTACATACATATGTAAATACGTATGTATGTATATACATACACATATAAAATAAATGGTTTAAGCTTGACCGAGAACGAACGGTTAATAATGTCGAATTGTGATATTTGCAGGAAAGTAAATTTCAAATATAATGGTAATTCGACTTTGCAATATCTAATAATTCTTTGAAGTGGCAAATTTTTTGTTCTATGCGCTCTACTATTATTAAGAACAAAATGGTCAACGGCAGGGATTTTCTAGTTACTATTCATTCGAATTAGGTTTCAATCTATATAATATTAATAAGATAATTGTATTATAGTTAAAAATAATATTAACTCGGGTCGACAACATATATTTGCTCACTCAATAAAATAAAAATTATTAAAATGAAAATATGTTTGTTTACAACTTCAACCACTGTGCAGCAATCGCGCCATAAACAACCAGCCACAAAAGTAACAACAACCACTACACGACAGCCTAAGAGGGTGGGTGGTTCGACTGACCATAGTCGAATGGTGGTGACCACCGCAGCACTAGCAACAACAACACTGAACCACAACATAAAATCTTGAACTTTATGGCGCGCCAAATTAACAACAAATATCAAATGTTTGGCTCTCTCCTTCACTTATTTATAAGTTCGCGCTCTCACGCCCACGCGGGCGCAGACGCAGCATCGTCCCAAGAAGAGAAGAGATGAGAGTGTGTAAAGAGCGGCGCATGCGTGTGTGGGCTGTGTTTGCTGTTGCATTAACATTGCTGCTGCTGCTGTTGTTGTTGTTGCTGTCGCCTGCTGCGTGGGTCAAATTTAAAGGCGTAGCTGCTGGGGGTGAAGCTTTTTTGCATAAAATATTGATGCTGATGATGATGGTTTGGTAAACAAAACAGATAATGTACAAAACTGAAAAAACAGCAGCAACAACAACATATTGTATGTATGCGTTATTTTAAATATGCAGCAAAGTTTATGAGCGCGACAAGACGTCAGGCGATCGCGTCGGCTACAAGCCTATGTACATATAAATATACATATGTAGGTATGTGAATGTATCCACATATACTTTTTTGCTGCCATGAGCGGCAGATGTGTTAAACAAACTGGTGAAGACGCCACCACCATCGTCTTCGCTGGTAAACTTGTAAGCTGGGAATCAAGGTGCGGGCGGTGGGGCCTGTCTGAAAACGTTGCTTATATGGGCGGCAGGTGGTAATTTTTGTGGCCTGGTCTGGCAAGGCAAGGCAAGGCAGCTGCTGCTGTTGTTATTGCTTCTCTGGTATTTTTTTTTTTTTTTTTTTTTTGTGCATTTTGGTGTCTTCTTTGAGTTTGGATTCAGGCAGCCAGACAAAGCAATTTGCT